TGTGTGTGTGTGTGTGTGTCTGTGTGTCTGTGTGTTCGTCCTTTTTGCTGCCCACTTTCATCTCGAGAACCGGGAAAGCTGGAAGGCTGAAATTTCGGAAGTATGTGCCCACACCATGCGCGACCCTCCCACTTAAATATCATTACCCGCCTACGCCTGGGTGCCGCGTACGGACGTCTTGAAAAAAGATGCAAATTTTTTAGCGGGGAAGCGACCTCGAGGACCAGAAAAAGTAAGAGGCTGAAACGTTGCAGAGATATTCCCTATGCACATATGAGCTAAAGATTTTAAATTCAGCCCTCCTCAGGTATGCGTGGTACTCACGTAGAGGCGTGTGAAGAATTCGACGGGTAAATTACCAATTCGGTAACTAGAAAAGCTGGAAAGCCTAAACTTCAGGGGAATGTTGTCTGTCCACATGCAATTTAAAAATTTTAAGTTCAGCTCCCACGTACGTGGGTCCAACTACGTTAAAGTGTGTGTGTTACCTCCAGAAAAAGGATATACAAAGGCTCCAACTGTACAGGAGTACCACTGAGCCAGATAACCTGCGAAAATCTTCAGCAAAAAAGAAACACGGAAAGACTAAGTAACCACCTTACAGTTTTAAAAACAATACACAAAACAATTTAACAGGATCGCTAAAAGTCAGAAGAAACGGACTTTTTTAGATTTTTCAGGGATTCGTGCTGCTAGTGATTTTTCCTACATTTCCTCATCCTGCAAAATACGTGAACGGTCAGAGGAACTGTCTGCTTCAGAACAACGGATTCTAATTCAACATAAATGCCGACAATTGCCACAAAGTACATGCAGAAAAAGAAATCAAAAACAACTAAAATCCAGAAAATAAGCCGCCAGAACACAATCGAATAAAGCCGCTTTTGTCTCTGTTATCATTTACATTGAAAAGGTTCGACTACCACACCCGTGTTTTTCCATTAAAACAACACCGCGGCAACACACTTTCTTGTGTCCAACTACAAACCTATGTTTATATATAGAACTGTTTGGAAGTAAACACCTGTTTCTGTGTATCAAAAATATGCATAAACAGTGCCTTAGTTGGGGGTAGAGAGGGTATCGGAAACAAAATCATTCACAAGAGCATGTGCAAAAAAAAAAAAAGTATGCTACAAAATCTTTAAAGAAGAGAAGAAATTTCTTTCATGAATTCTGAGTACGCTTCGTCCGTGTCTTTCGCTTCTTTTCTTTGCGCTGATTCCACTTGAATCCCCATCATATTAAATCTGAAACAAAGCAGGCTGCAAAAATGGAAACACTGATATCTTGTCAATCAAAAATAAAGTTGATGAAACGTGCATGTGTGCGTGTGTGTGTGTGTATGTGTTCGTCCGTACGGGTATTTCAACTCGGCAAACAAGCAAGCTCCAGCATCAAAATTTTGTTAGTGGGTTCCCCGGCCACGTACCACGCCAGAACCGCGGTGCCAACCCTTACACAGGTCTGGGCCCCGCCTACGAGAGAGTGAAAGTTTTGGCGGGAAAACTGCTAACTCGGGGACCAGAAAAGCTGAGATTTTAGGGGAATATTCCTCGTCCAAATACAACATAAAGGTTTCAAATTCGCGTGGTTCTCTTGTAAAGGCACTCAAATTTTTGGCGGGAAAATTACTCATTGAATAGCTGGATCATTTTCCAAAAAGGACCGCTGAACGGAAATTGCTTATTTCCTTACGATACTGAGCGCACAAGGTAGGTATGAACAAACAGCCGTTCATGCAGTTCACCTAATTGCTTCATGTTTGTTGCAAAAACGCATGATCGTACCGGCTTGCCTGGCGCATTCCAGCCTGGGCTTATTAGTCAGCTCTTCAAGTGGCAGACACGGGGCAGTGGAAGGCAGTAAAACTGTATCGAAGAAGGCAGAGCATTCTAGCCCATCAATGGTGCAACCAATCCCCTCAAAATTCATTCATCCTTTTCCTCCGTAAATTTACACTGGCAGATGCCAGGAAGTCAAATCCGTCACCGGCTTTCTGCAAGCAAGCAACCATTGACATCATTACCAGCGATTGGCTGCTGTTGACACTTGCTACCGCTCCGGCTATTTGCTTTCAAAGAGAGCGAAAATGGAAGGGGTTTTGACATGCATTAACACTTCAGCAACAACAAACCCACCAATGATAATATAATATACCTGAGACGTAAAAAGACAATATGCTAAAATAGTAATAATTCCATTCTAGTCGAAAAGGAAGAAATCGGGCACTCCCTTCCTTCTTCCTCGATGCACCTTCACTATGCTGTTGCTTCGCCACCTAGCCCTGCTTGTGCCAGATCTCAGGGATTTGGCTAATAAACAACCATAACCCAATTAATCAGTGAATGCTGACCACGTCTACTCTGTGAAACCTTGACTAAATGCTTAAAACAAGAAATCAACTACAACTGGTAAGTAAGCTCCATCAGAAGCCCAGCGAGCATGTGAACAGCCGGTAATGTGCTTGGATGTTCCAAACAGTTCAAAATTTCCTATCTGGAAATTTAGATCGAAAAAAAATCTTTGAAATAGGTCAGACCGTCCCAGAACACCCATTCGTAATTTTCTTTCTTTAAGTCCACTTCTCAAAAAATAAAGAAAAAACAGACTTGCGAACGGCCTTTTTCGGTTGCTGCTTGTTTCGATTGACCATCAGTGCTGTTGGCACAAACTTCGTGACTTCTTTTGCTAAGTCCCTCAATTTTGGTTCTGCTGAAATTGTTGCTTCTCCGCTGTCTTTTGGCTGTTCAGCCTCCTCAATTCGTCGCACGACTGGTTCTGCTGAGATCACCGAGCTGCTCTTTGATGGGCGTATAAACGGTATTGGCAAAATAGGCCCAGCTGCAATGAAGAATCATTATCGAAGAAAAAACTTTTGAACGCTTTTCAAAACGAAGAAGCTTTGGACGCCTTTCATTTCGTAATCAAAAATCAAGAAGTCATTCAGACATTTTTGTAGTGAAAAAGTGATATAATAAAAAAAGCATACGAAAACGCGGTGGCGGAGGAGGAACGCGAAGCGGAAGACGAGGCATCGGCGGTAACATATTTGGAGGCATCGGTGGCGCACGCAATAAACGATCCTGTGGAATCACCGGACCCAACGACGGATTACTGCTGGGCTGCATTATCTCCGCAGGAACTGTAACAAAGATAATAGCATGATGTGGAAAAGATGAATTCATGTAGAAGCAGGTTGGTAGCAGAGTGTTTGCTCCGCCGCTGTTCTGTTTTTCTTTCGGTTACGCATTAATTAGCATTCTTGAATTAGCGTTTAGTACTCGTTTTTTCGCCCCTTCCAGACCCAAAAAGCCTCTTCTGAAATTATTGCCGGCAGCAGTCCTGACCCTCACCAATCCCTCACATCCCCGACAAACACTTTTTATTCTTAAACATAGCACAGGCAAGCTGAATTAAGTGAGAGCAAGACTTAATGTGTAGAGAAATGAGGGAGCGTAGCGAGGAACGAAGAGTGAAATATGAAGAGAATTTTCTGCCTTCGCTGCGTAAAAAAATCAGTGACAAAATAACCACTCCTATTACAAATTTTCCAAATACTTTAATTCATAAAAAACCGGCAAGGTAATTTTCATTAAACTGGAACGCTGAAGGAAAATGGATTCATGCAAAAAGCAATAAGAGCGGCAAAGAAAGGTGTTAAACCTACTTTCGACAGGACCGAAGTCTTCTTCGGCTGTGGCTGATGCCGTATTTTCGTTTGTAGCTTTTTCCGTATCGTTTGGAGAATTTTCCTCAAATCGGACTCGTCTTCTGGGGAGCAATTCACTATCATCCTCTGGTCCGAGAAATGGCGGCAGACTACAAGGAGGTCCAGGAGGTTCCGTTCGCTCGACAATATCCTGATCCACTTGCGCATTCTTCAAAATGCCAGCGCGTGCTTGAGGGATCAAGAACTGAATTGGTATACTGGGAGCAACAGGCGTCATTGCTGCATTTGGAACTGAAACGCCGTCCGGCAATGGAATTTCCACAGGATTTGTCTCCAGCGAGAATCGTTGCGCATCTGAATGAATGATGGGAAAGTGGTGAAAAATCGTATCAGAAATGCTGTGAAGTGATATCAAATACACTTACTGTACTGCTGTATTTTTCGGTTTCTCTCCGCTTCATACTGCGCCATCTTTTTCTCCAAATCTTTTACAATATCGTCCCGTTTCTCCTGCTTATATAAATTCACTATGTCGTTATAGGTCTGCATGAATTTGGTACGCTTCTCGTTGAAAACGTATTTGCTGTGATGGTCCACACGGATGTCATATTCTGCAACAAAAAAGCACTTCATAACTCTTTCTGAAAGCTGGCGTCTGGCTTGCTCTGTAATGAGTTGGCTCAGTCAAAGACACCTGCAATTTTACTATTTCGTGTGGCTGCTGGCTCGCCTATTCCATAAACAAAAACCCCACAAGCAAAAGTTGTTCGAACCGGCAGTGTGAGAGACACGCAGCCAGCAATCTAAGCCGCACTATCCTGTACTGCGCGCACCGCCGATCGTCCCAGTCATACTTTCCAGTGAGCAGACTGCGAGCCAGCGAAGAACAGCAGAAAGCTGGCGGCAACAAAAGTGCTTTACCCTGATCATCCAGGCGGCCCAAATTCTCCAGAATTTCATCAGTATCTTTGCTTTTGAGTATCGCATGCCGCACCATTGTCCGCTGCTTGCGGTTCCTTTTCAGCTCCTTCTGCCGCATACTCTTCCGCTCCTGGTCGGCCGGATTCATGAACCGGCCCGACTTGGTGGTGCTTCCTGGTCGCCGTCCCATTCCTCACCGATCTGTTCTGAAATTCCTTTTTTCGTAACATACAGAAGAGGTGCGGTATCCTCTGTCCTCTAGAAAACGAGAGATGGTGGCACACGCACGTCACCTGAAACTGACACCGTCTTCCATTATACCATGAAATGTACGACAGATCAGCAGCAACCTGCCTGATCCCCCACCCCCTCGAGATATCCAGTTCAGGAGCCAAAACTTCCAAAAACTCATCTTCTTCGAAAGACGCATTCAGAAACTACGTCAGTTCAAATACGGGGCGTCCAGATGCAGCCAGAACGGAACATGTAAAACAGCAACCGATCCCAAGGCCTATTCAAAATCAGTATGCTGGCTGGCAAATGGACGCTGACAAATGCTTCAAACGAAAGGAGCAGGAAGGGGAGGGGAGGGGAGGGGGAGAAGGGGCCAAATTCGGAGACGAATCCGAAAGCCAACGAGCTCATAAGGAAATGCAACCTGGCAGACTGCACACAGC